TTTGATATATGAGATTTTTATGACAGTCGAAAATGTAAGCTTATATGATCTAAATTGTAAGAATTACTGTTGCTATGTGTACATTGAAAATGTGACGACGACGATAAAATGTCGCCAGACACAGTGGGTGCTGCTATAGGATAGGCCTATATTCAGCTGTCTGACAGGGGCGGCTGAGTGAGACAATCTTTTTTTGTTTGGTCCCACTGCTCGAAGAGCTCTCAATTGATTGGCGGGGTCGATAGGGAGTTAAGACCACTCCCCTCCCCCGCTTGCGCCGCCACTGCCAGGCACCCAACTCAGGCTTCGGGTCTCGGTTGTATTTTCCACATTAAAGGGTCTGTTAATTAATAATCTTGTACGGGAGCCTGTCATCCCATAGCTACCATCTTCATCTATCATAATTATTAATTGTCCATAGCAGAGTAAGGAACAACTGTGGATTCAGAGTATATTCACTCATTAATAGACGTCTCATAATGCACGAACTTGCATTTCCAAGCATTTTTAAAACGAGGACTCAACGTCTATAATTTGTCTTTGAGAACAATCAAATATTACCATTTCTTCTCATGACCACGCCAACCTGGGACCCCATCTGTGCGATAATCAGGGTAAACTCTGTATCCGCGCCTGTTTAAAGATTAGATCAACGTCATAAAGAAAAATGAAGGAGAAAATCATCGCTGAGCGTTGGTTTTGTTAAAGCTTAAAGTACATTCCTTCCCCCACCCCTGGTCATTTAGTTTGAATAATCATCAGTTAAAGAAATTGTTCTGAAGTACTTTCCTATCCAAGGGGGCCATCGGAGGCCGGACAAGAGGGTCCATCTGAGAGTGGACCACTGTCTCCGTCATATCGGTAGGAATAATATGAATCGACTTACGACGTGACATGGTCATTGATACATTTCCTTTTATAGGGCTTACACGATTATGCGGTTTCTCTCGTCTGCATTTTCTCAGCCACATTTTCCAAACGTTTCTACATTCGTCCTGTCTGATACAGAACAGGTAGAAGATAGCAACACCCTGGAATGCGTTGAAAAAGCAGAACAGAGAAAGAAAAACAATATTTCCCGGGAAATCAAACGATAGAAATCCAAAAACCCAAGTCAGGCCGAGCAGCAGAGCTATCGCAATGGCGTTGGTAACCCGCTTCTTTCTCTCGTGATGAGAATGTTCGGACATCTTTTTTCTTGTCACGGATGTACGTACAAAGAACAGCCTTTTGATAACTTTTGCAAAGATTACTGTGTTGAATGCTATAACTGCACTAATCGGCAAGATCAGCCCGCAGATGTATTCCAGAAGATAAGTGTCAAAGTCACTTGTGATGTAACAGCTGAAAAATGCAGCATAGTATGCCATAAAAACAATATAACAATATAGGCCTATGATGTAACTGTAATATAAAATAATATAGGATGATCTACACATTTCACCATTTCAGAAATCGATGCATTATTAACATTTTATTAATTATATTAGGGATATACGGAAATGAACACTTACTATTGGTCGTTTTCATAGAACGATGTGGTTTTAGCATATTCTCCAGCAAATTTCTCGACCAGAAGCAATGCGGCAGGAAGAACCATTGGTAA